ATTGTAAGGTCTGTCACCTCACTGATCACCAGGGATGACTCAGCTGGTCTGGCTGTCTAGACAGATGTCCCCTACCTCCCTCCCCATCAGCGTGCTTCTCTCCCGAAGTTGTGCACCCAGTGTAAGAGATCAACCTGCCGCGGTAGAGTACCACCGTTCTTCTGTCAAGGGTATATGAGTAGCTGCGGTCCCTCTGCTAGAAGTTCCAAACATGAAGTTAAAGCTGACTGAATGAAAAACATAAACCCTGAATATGAACAACAGAGGTACTGAGAAGTAGAACAGCTTGGTCTGGGAGGGGAGGTAGAAGAACTTCTGCTGTGAGGTGTGTGGCAAAGAATGGAAAAACAAAGGCTGGGGAGGAAGGAGGCAGAGTTGCAGTATGGCCATCTAGTGGCTGATTCAGATATTGCAGGCAAGACAGGTAAATGTTCCACGAGTAATGACCATAGGCGTTCCGCAGATGTATTAACTCATTTACTCCTCACCATGATCTTATCAGATGGACATAGCTTTATTCCTAATTGCATATTCAGGCGCTTATGTACATTGCTAATAACTTACCAAACATCATGCTAATATAAAATTAGCCTAGGGAAGTTGGGCTTCAAGTCTATGCACATAGCCAAGGCTATACCTGCCTCAAAAAACGTAAGATTCACCCTGCAGGTGCAAAGAGCTGAATCCTGGTTGGATTTGCGTTTTACAGAGGTCTCTCTAAACTTCCGAACTGTGGCAGGATAAAGGAAGAATACATACAAGGAAAAGAGGGAGGAGACTGCTGCAAACATCCAGGCAAGACAGTGACCTGAAGCAGGGAGCCCGCAGGTACGGGAGGATGATTTGTTAGAAAGTCAAAACTAGGTGAAGCTGAGGTGGGGTCACTTCAGGTGTCTCTCCTGTCTCTGGTCTGGGTGGATGGGTGCCATTTACAGGAACTGGGGGCTGGAGTTGGGGAAAGATTAAGAATTCCACTTGGAGTGGGGCGTGGTGGCATATGCCTGTAATCCCAGCAGCTTGGGAGGCTGAGGCAGGAGGATTGCAAGTTCAAACCCAGCCTCAGCAAAAGCGAGGCACTTAGCAACTCAGTGAGACCCAAATATGGCTGGGGGTGTGGCTCAGTGGTTGAGTGCCCCTGAGTTCAATCCCCAGTACCCCACCCCCCATAAAAAGAATTCTACTTGGAACCTGAAGTGCCTATGAAGTTTTACAGGAGGGAAGGGGCTGAAGGTGCTGCTTTTCTGTTTGTACTTCACAGGAAGTAATGTAACAGAATGGAGTGAAGGTCCCCATGTCAATCATTCAACAAATACTTACTATATCAAGCCTTTGCTGAACACTTAGTACATTATGATAAACAAGTGGATGTGGCCTGTGCTCAGATAACTCTGTCTCCAAATTCACAATGTGTCCAGGGAGAGCACCATCAATGGGCCAGGAAGAGCTTGAGAAGCCAAGAGCAGGTTTTCAGGAACATCTTCCTGGAGAAAATGGGGTACTATCTAATACAGTAAACTTAGAAGAATCTGAGAGATCATTGCATCTTCCAACAAGGGGTGGAACTGGTGAAAGCAGTCTTTTTTTTAGTATTTTTATAATTGTAGATGGACACGATACCTTTATTTTATTTATTTATTTTTATGTGGTGCTGAGGATCAAACCCAGGGCCTCATACGTGACAGGCAAGCGCTCTACCACTGAACTAAAACCCTAGCCCCATGAGAGCAGTCTTGGTGGAATGTACAGGTGGAAAGAAGGCTCAGACATTGAGGGATAGGTGTGACAGATGGAGGTGAAAACAGCAAATGTTGACAGCTACTCTTAGATTCTTGAAGGGACCCTTTTGGAAAGTCAACTTTCCAAAAGGACTGAAAGTTCAGCGCACACTGTGGCTACTCATTTCATACACACACACACACACACACACACACACACACACCAGAGATCCCTATACTGGGGTAGGATTAGTCAAAAGACCAAGTTCGATGTCACTAACTGGCTATATAACCCTGAGCAAGTACCTCCCTCTCTCTGAGTCTGTATTCTTGCCTCTAAAAAACAACCTTAGTTACAACCACCCAGAAGGATCACTATGAGGCTCCAATCAGAAAACACCCTACACACCACATAGGAACCCTCAGCTTCCTTGAAAAAAACATCACTGCCACCATCATTGGGCTTGGATTTGAGGACAGTCCCTTTCCAGCCTCTTGCTCCAGCTCACTATCCCTGGGTGCCTGAAACATCCTCCCTCCTCCTGACCTTTACCCCATATGCCAGCTTATGTCTGCACCACCCCCACCCCATACCCCAAGCCCACAGCTGGACCTGGCCAAAGGTCCAGTTATTCATTTACAAAGACCACAGAGAACTACATGGGCCTCAGTGATGTGGAACAAATGGGCCTCGCCAGCTCTAGTATGCTGATACCTCGAGAGACACAGGAGAACAGATGGGCCTGGAATGTTCTGTACCCACCAGCCTCACGGGGCCTCCAGACTGCTTCTCACCCACCTCATTATGGAAGCTTAGGCAGGTACTGTCCCTTCCTTGGGCTTGGATTCCTTAGTATAATATTAGTACATTGGACTAAATGATTCTAAGGATCCTGCTAGTTCTATCTTGCATCTAATTCAGCTCATTCTGTAATAATAATATTAACTTAAAATCGTGCACTAGCTGTGTGCTAGGTACTATTCCGTGTGTTTTATGCACATTGTTCCTTTTGATATTCACAATGTCCCTCATTACATAGACACCATTTATTTATTTATTATTATATAGACACCCAATTTAGAGCACAGTGAAGGTAATTTGTCTAGGGTCACACAGTATTAAGTACTACCCCCAGGCTGCCTGACTCAGACCTGGGCGTTTAGCTGCTCGGGGACTGTCTGACTGTAGGGCAAAATCTATGGCTCAACTGAGCGTCAGACCTCAAATGTATTTCCAAATGTCCCTCCAAGGCTTCCTGTATCCTTGTCCCACAAGCTCCTAAACCCCAAATTACCATAAATGCAAATTACCATAAACACACACTTCTGCTTGTCCCCTGGCATCTGCCATTTTCAGTGCCATTCCCTGTCCTCTATGGTGCCAAAAAAAAGGCACCCCCTCCTTCCAGGTGACTCGGGCCCAAATCAGGCTGCAGGACCTGGTCAGTGGAGGAATCATCTGCATCATTCAGTACAGTGTCCCTGGTCCCACAGTCTTCCAACTTGCTCAGGACAGATGCTCAGGAACCATGTGACTCAGGCTCCAGCTCACCTCTGTACCCTCGGATCCCCTGCCACACACACACTTTCTTTCTCTCTCATTGAACTATCATTATTCTGCTTTTCTAGGAGATCAGGGTCATTCCATACAAACAAAGTCCAAGAAATGATGTCATCCCTCACTCACTTTGAAAAAGGGGCACAGGCTACTATGCTTTAGACAATTTGTGTGTGTGGTGGGGGGAGGCAGAACCAAGATGACTAAGCCTCTAAAAGCTTGGTTGACCAGTACAGATGGAGCCTGTGGCATTCACGGATTCAGTCACTGGGGCCAGGAGCCCAGCTGCCCAGGAGGCCCATAGGAAGACCCAGTGAATGTTTGAATCACCTGAGGGAGTGCTGGGACAGTGCCAGGAGATGGTCTCTGGCCCCAGCACTTCTGCTCCCTTACCCCAGCTCAAGTTCAAAGGCTCTGCTGAATCTGCCCTTCCTAAGGAGTGTGCAGCCACCAGGTGGCAGCGGAGGCCACAGGCACACAACAAGAGCCACTCCAGGCCAGATGGGGCAGAGGTGATCAGGAAAGTCTATCACTAACCCCAGAACCTTCAACCAGGGAGAGAGCAAGCGTAGGTATATGCATGCGGGTGTACAGGTGCTTATGTGTGTGCACCTGTATGGCATGGAGGGGTATGGACAGACATACAGCCAGACTACTAGTTTAGCCTCCTTCCTTTGTGTCACTTCCCCCCTCTTTGGGCTTCCCTTCCCCTGTTCAGCCCTATCCTGGATGCTAGTGACTCGGAGGGCTGTGACTCCATTCCTGCTTTTGAGGGGCTCCCAGACCTGGAGCTAGAGGTGGGCACCAACAAGTAGACAGTGCAGTGGGGGAGGGGCGTGGCACAGGTGCCAGTTAAAGGGGAGTGCAGGGGCTGGACTCCAAAGCTGACCATAGGTTATTTGCTTTCTGGCAACTCTCTGATGTAATTATAACACATATGTTATTTCTCTTTCCTCCCAGCAGCCCTGCAGGAAGCTATTACCAATCCAATTTTACTGGCAAGTCTTGGAGGTCTCACAGGTAGTGAGATGCAGACCTGGAATTTGATCCAGAGTCTGTATGACTCCCAGATTCTTGCTTTTGGCCACTGTGCACACTGCCAGGGGCTGAAATCTGGGGGGAAAGTCGAGCTGGGGAATCCAGACGCCCAGCCAGATCTGGGTAGGGAGCAGGTGCCCCCACACTAGTCCCAGATGGCTCCCCCAGTCTGACTTACTTGTGAGGTTGGTCCTGGACAGGGAACCATTTGACTCAGGCTCCAGCCCATGTCTGTACCCTCTGCATCCACCAGTCCCCCTGGGTAAAGGAAAGAGGTGCTACCCACCCATAGCCCTGATCTGATGGCTCCTGAAAGTAGTATCTCTGCAAGTTACCCTGAGCACAAGGGAAGTAGTCCTGAAGCTTCTTGACCACCTCACAATGGGGGAAGCTTGCCCCACAATGGGGGAAGCTCTGGAGGTAGAACTCCAAAAAGCCTTTGTCAAAGCCAAGTCCAGAGGATCAGGGCTATAGCTCAGTGGTAAAGCCCTTGTGTTGCACGTATGAGGAACTGGGTTCAATCCTCAGCATCACATAAAAAATAATTAGACTAAGGTATTGTGTCCATCTACAACTAAAAACATTAAAAAAAAAAAAAAAAAAAAAAGTCCAGATTGGAAGTTCCTCTTGAAGTTTCAGTCCCAATTCTGTAATCTCCCTCTACCTGTGCGGGTTGCTGGTGGAGGCTTTCTTTTCCTGCCTGAACTTGGGTATGACCTATAATGTCACCCTATGAATGTCACACTTTGGGGATAAGACAGAGGAAAGAAAGATGCAAGCCCTATTCCCGGAAGCAGAAAAAGCGATAATGCCATCAACAGTATGAGAACATCTTGGTTCCAGAGCGAGGTTTGGGAGACCTGCTTGTTCTGGCAGCGAGTTGGTGGAAGGGATCCGCTAGAGACGCCAACAGTGAGTCATGGGACCTGCAGGCAAAGGGGTGACCTCCAGGAATCTTGGGGTTTGGGAAAAGCTGGTGAGAGGGACAGCTGGGGAAAACAGCTGGAAACAGAAGAAATTCAAGTGGGGAGAGGCCAGGGAGGGAGACTGGAGACGGGACTAAGAGAGGAAGGTGGAAATGAAAACAAGAGGTCGTGAGACTGACAGACAGAGACAAAGAGGGGACAGGACGGCGGGAGAGGGCCTACAGGGAAGAGAAAGGACGGAGAGAGCCGGCAAGACGGGAGGAGCACAGCCCGGGAGGCGGCCCTCCCTTGCCTGTCACTCCCGCAGCTCCTAATCCCCTCCCCCAGGGTCAGGGGTGGGCAGCGCGCCTCCAGCCCCGCCCCAGGCCCTCAGAGGCCGCCCCCGGGGACTGGTTGTACCGCCCAGTAGATGGTGGGGGGTCCAGCTGGTGCGTTATCAGCCTCCTCCAGGAACGAGCCTGAGCCACTCAGCGGCTGCCAGTCTGAGATTAGGCCCCGGGAGGGTCATTAAGCAGCCGCCCTGGCCCCGGCCCAGCCTCCTTTCCCTCCATGATCAGGCCAGGCTGGCAGGTGGGAACAAGCGATAAGGACTGGGGGTCTTGGCCGTTCTGGTCAGAGCATGGAGTGGGGGTGGGGGCTGTAAGGTCAGTTCCAGTCCAGTCCCCTTGGGGGTCCCCAGGGTTCCCATCATCCTGGTCCTGCTCAAATTGAGAGAGACAGAATAGGAAAGGGGGGAAGGAGGCTCTTAGAGCAGAATGCCCCTTCTGTCCCCTTAGGCTGATGGAAGCAAGGTGAGTTCAGGCAGAAACTGGCCCCTCCTGGCAATGCCTCACAGGTGGCTCTGCCTTCCGAGGAAGAGAACCAGACCTGACCCACCTTCACCTCCCAGGGACAGCTGGGATCAGAGGAGGGAGGAAATATGACCCCATGCAAGGAGAATCACATCCAGGCCATCAGAAGGTCCCCACCAGAAGGCTGAAAAGGAAAAAGAAGGTGTTTGTGCCTTAGCAGAGACTAAGCCTCTAGGAACCTGTCTCTCCTTCAGTGAGTGAGAAGCTGGGCTGGTTGCTAAGGAACCCTGCCCAGAGCGGGAGGAGCCTCCACCAGGAAAAACAAAAACAGGCACCGATGTGATTCTGCAACTTGTATTTGGGGCAAAAAATGGGAGTTCATAACCCACTTGAATCAAATGTATGGAAGATGATATGTCATGAGCTTTGTAATGTTTTGAACAACCAATAAAAAAAAAAGAAAAAAAAATTTAAAAATAAATAAATAAAAATTAAAAAAAAAAAAAACAGGCAGAGTTTAAACTAGCAGAGGCCACATGAGCAAAAGCCTAGAGTAGGAATCATGGGAACAACAGCCACAATTCATACAGCTAAAGCCCTGAGAGGACATAACTTGGCTCAGGTTGCACAGCAAAGCAGAAGTGGGCCTGGAACAAAGTGGCTGCACCCCACTCCCTCTGCTGCAGGCCACATCCTAAACCCCAGTGAGATGACAAGGTTAATTCTGGTTTAAGATGAGTCTTCCCTGGGGTATTTGGGTGAGCCTTGGAACAGCAAAGGAATGGCTGTGACAGGATGAGATGGGTGGCAGGGGAGACATTAGGACAAAGTACACTGTTAGCCCCACTACCTTGGATCTGAGAATGCTCCTGGGTGAGTCTGTCTTGGGTTGTTACCCCAGAGAGAAAGAGCCAGAAGCCGTTCCCTGGGCAGTCACAGAGGCAAGGGCCCAGGGTCAGCCAGGCCCTGAGTCATGCCTCCTCCCTCCTCGGCCTCATACCCATCACCTGACCCCCAACCCACTTCAGGACTGGGAATCAGGCCTTGGTGAGGACTGAGTTCTACCCCAGCTCTGCGATGAGACTGGCCAAATCTTCCACAGAGAAGAAACTGAGCTCAGAGGAGTCAGCCACTCTCCTGAGGTCACAGAGTAAGTTGTCAGGGGGCCAAGAACTCAAATCTGAGCTTCCTTGAGTTCTTCCTGGACTCTCCTGGCACTTCCTTGCCTGACGCACAGCACACAGGGGCAATGAGAAAGCAGGTAGAGCTGGATGGATGAGAGAAGAATGAACCCATCACAATGCCAGGCATCATGGAGACAGGGTGGGGTGCTGCATGAGGAAGGATGGGTTGCGGGTGAGACTTGAAGGAGGGGCTCTCCCTGGAACAAGGTAGAGTGGGTGGGTTCCCTGGCCCTTAGCTCTCTGATCCCCTCTTTCTGCCTTTTGTACAGGAAAGAACCTAGGACACACCTTGAAACTGACAAGGCTGGGGTACCCTGTTTGCACCAGGGCCTGCCCCGCCTGGGAAGCTCTCCTGACTGCTCCTGCCCAGGGGAGGGTTTGGGGAAGGGTTTAACCCCAGGGAGCAAGGCCCATCCTCTGGTCAGAATGAGCCCAAACTCTCCCACACAAGGGCGTTCATCTGACATTCCTGGAGGGCACTCTGCCTGGTCACCAGGACATAGACATAAGCTCACAACATGGCCCTCACCTCTCCTGGCCTGGCCCCCTTGGCCCCAGCCGCCCTGTGGCCCCAGAGACTTCCTGGGTAATCCTCCAAGGCCATCATGACAGTGGTTTCAGAAGGTGATTATCATGACTCAGAAAGCAAGACAGGGTCTCCCTGGAAGCCAGAGGGGCTGTTTCTGAGCCTCAGCCCCAGAAGTACAAAAAGTCTTTATTTCACAGAAATAAGGGTCCTTTCCATGGTTATAGGGGAGAAAGGGAGGCAGCCCGGGAGGCTAAACTGACTGCGTCTTCCATCCACTCTTCTGAATTGGGTGGGAGGCATCCAGGAAGACGCGAGGGCCATACCGGCACCCCAACCTGGACATGGTCTGAGCCCCAACCTTGACTGGCTAGAACTGCTGGGCAGTCAGTCCTTGACTGTAGATTCCTGCACAGAGAAGGCAGTGGCCAGGTGGTGGTATTCACCTCAATCTCAGGGCTGGGGGCCACCGTGAGCCAGGTCACATGGCGGTGCTGCGGACCTTGCTCTCCTCCTCCTCCAGGGCATTCTCATAGGCATTTTTGTGCTCACTGGACCTGAAAGAAGAGGCAGGGCCTGGTGGTCAGCAGGCCTCGCATCGCTTCTCCCTGCCCACCCTGTGCTGGCGAGAGTGGTATCTTGTAGAATAAACTTTTGACTCCCAGGAGGGGCTTCTCCTGACCACACCTGGGCTGGGGCATGTAGACAGGAAGCCTCTCAGCACCACCTCCCTGAATCCCATTGTCCTCCTCCCTGGGATCCTCCTCCACTGGTCACCCATCTCCCCGTGCTGAACTCCCTCCCCGCTGAGCCCTCTCCCCTCAGGGTCATCCCTTCATGGTATCCCTTCCTTTGTTGAACCCCTTTCCTCCACAGCACCCACTGCCTGTGAGTCCCCATCCACCCACTGAACCCCCTTTCAAGTAGCCTTCCCCCAACTTAGCCTTCTTACCAAACTGAGGCTTCACCTGCCCATGGAGCCTGGTGATCCCCACAAAGTCCCCGACACCTCATTAGCCCTTCCCCACGGGAGTCCCCACCCTCTTTCCCCACCTCCAGCAGCACCTCCTCCTGAGGTTCCCTTTGGGCTCTGGAGCCTAGGGCAAGCAGCCCTGTACCAGCACCTCACCTGAAGCTGGCCACCGTGGAGGAGTACCTTCCATCCATTCCCACCAGGATCCCATCTGCCTTGTTCCCAACAGTCATGACCACGTTTCCAGGCTCCCTGGGGACAAGGCTCATTAGTAGCATCCACTGATAGCCCCCCACCTCACCCTATCCGAGCAGATCCTATTCTGGATGCTGGTTCTCACAAGCGCAGGACAAGCATCTCTGTCTAGCAGGCCCTGCCATCGGCCTGTCTAGGGAAACTCACACTCTTCTTCCTGCTCCACAGTAGGGGCCAGAGATCTGCAAGATTTGCCCTGAGTCCAAGGCCTCTCTCCACTGCCTCCCAGCCACCCTCAGCTCAGGCCTCAGAGCAGAACAGCCAGACTCAGTGTCTGCCCAGAATCAGGAGCAGATCCGTGGTCCATCAGCGGCCCCTGAAGGAGAGCTGGCCGGTGGAGGAATGAAGCATCTCCACAGAAAGCCTCTTATTCAAGCATAAACTCACAGCAGTGTGGGCTCCACCTCACCCCCAAAACTGCTCTCGTGAGGGTCACAGGGACCCTTACACCTGCTCGTCTTTCCTTGGACATCCCACATAAATCAGATTCAACATGGCCCCAATAAACTCATCAATTGCCTCCAGATCTGTTCATCCGCTTATGTCCTATGCCTCAGTGAGGTTCCCAGATATTTTCCTTGATCTTCATCCCCCTGGGTCCACTACTGTCTCTGTCCACCAGCCTCCAAGGGCCCACCTCCTGGACTGCTCTTAGACTCAATCCCTTTTCAGTATCACACCTGCCACGTCTAGTCCAGATCATCCCAACCTCATGCCCCGGCTCCTCATTGCTCCCCAGGCCTGCAGACTGCCCCCATGCACCGTGTAGCTGCCAAGTGGCAGCCAGAGTGACTGCTAAGGCTGTGTCCCAGGCTTTAAAACATGCTTTAAAAATTCCTCTGCACCAAGATGAAGCTCAAAGTTCAGGCACAAGGGCTCTCTTGGCCTGGGTCCTGCTCACCTTGCCTGCCTCGTCTTGGGCCTCCCCTGTCCCCTCTCCACTAAGCAACTAGTGTTTCCTCTGAGGCTGTGCAGGGCTACGGCTGGCATCCTGGCCACCGGGCCACCTTTGTGAGCGTGGGAAACGGTGCCCTGGGAAAGATGTGCCCTCGCCCCAAGGCCCTGACCTGATAAATGAGAGTGCACTCTTGATCTTTGTGCATTCATACCCAGTGGCCCTGGTGCCAGGCCTCTAACTCAGGGCCATCCAGGAGTACTCCCCCTGTCCTGTAACTGCCTCCCCCAGGCTCGAGGATGCATATGCCATCAGGGAGGCCTTCCCTGACCACCCCCAGACCAGGGCAGCGCACTGTACAGTCTCCTTCATCAGCACGTGCACTTGTGTTTGCTGTCCAGTCTGCAACCCAAGAGCTCCACAGCTGACCCTGGAAAAGGATGGGAACTTCCTTTCCAGTAGGAAGACCAGGCTGCTATCCCAACTCTACAAAGGAAACCTCAAGACTCCAAGGAGAGAAGATATTTTCCCAAAACTCACAGGGAGGGACCACCAGAGCTGGCCAATAGAGCCCACATCTGGGAGCCAGCAAGCCTGAGGCTAGTTCCCACAGTCACCAACTCACCCTGTGACCTCGAACCTCAGTTTCCCTTCCACACCGTGAGAGGACCTGACCCAGAGTTTTGAGGCCCTTCTCCCCACTACTAGAGCAAGAGCAGTGGTCCCGAGGCCACCCTACCTGTTCAGGACCCCAGCCCCAGGGCCCTCAGGCAGCACTTACGGCTCTTCCTGGCACCAGAAGTGGTTAACGGCAAAAGCAATTGCAACGAGAACCAAGTACACGGCCACTGCGATGAGGCCCTGCATCCAGGGCTGCAGGTTCCCCAAACCTGAAGAGGGAAGGGGGATTTTGAGTGCAGAGCAGGGGCAGAAGGCGCCTCCCACTGCAAGGGCTGGTGCTTGTGTGGGGGGCCACCGGCCGCTTCAGAAACACGAAGGACATTCTGGGTAAGAGGACTGGCAATGAGGGCCCATCTGACCCCACTGAGCATGAGATGTGGTTGGAAAGAAGGGCAGAGGCCCAGGGAGAGACAGATGCCTGACCACGGCAGCCCACAAGGCCGTGGGGCTCAGAGTGCTGTTTCTGAGATCTGGATCCCTGCGCCTCGTCCCCTCCCCCAGGGGTCACGTGCAGGCCCCCCAGGGAGTGCTGGGCCCCAGGGACCAAAGGGCAGTTCCCCTGGACAGCTGGCCCAGGCCCTGCCAGCTAGGAGTGGCCCCTCCTCCTTTGCAACTGCCATCAGGCTGGAAACTGGCCCCAAACTGCCAGAGAAGGGCGGGCATCTGGAAGATCCTGCTCCGTGGCAAGAGGCTGGGAGGAGCTGCGAGGGTGTGAGATCCGGCCAGCCGAGCTGCTCGGGTCGGGGCGCACAGAGCGGTGACAGAGTTGAGATGAGGGGGACCAGGAAGGAAGCTTCCAACCCTGAGCCCCTTTGGATTCCTCCAGCTGGGTGATGTTCAAGGGGAGTAGGGCCAGAGACCAGGTCAATGCTCCAACCATGCTGTTCTATGCACTTTTTTTTTTTTTTTAGTTGTAGATGGACACAATACCTTTATTTTGTTGTTGTTGTTTTTAACGTGGTGCCGAGGATCAAACCCAGTGCCTCACATGTGCAAGGCAAGTGCCCTACCACCGAGCTACGATCCCAGCCCCTGTTCTATGCTTTTTGACTGTTAACAACAACTCCTACCCTCAAGATGTCCCAGAAATCTCCACCCTTAGGCCACAGGGAGCCCCAAAGAGCTCCCCTCTCTTTCCTTGGCATCACTGTGCGACATGAACCAGAGGGAGCTCAGCCCTGCAGAGGAGAGATACTTAGTAGGTAAAGGTCCTAGGAGGGAACAGAAGTCAACAGGGGGTTTCTGGGTGGGGGGTCTGTATCCTTCAGCCATTTTATATTCTGAGAGCCATTCTATATTATGACCAGACTGGGCATCAATGACATTCCTTCTACCTTACTGTCACTCAAAAGACCTCCCTTGAGTCTACCCTAAAGCTCTCCTGCTGCAGTGAAGGCTTCACCTCTTCTTTGAACTCTTTCTGAACCTAGCATGTGTTGGGAAGGAGGGAGGATTGTGGAACTCTTTGGCCTATGGCTAGGTCAGACCTTGCTTAGCTCCATGGATAGCAGAAGATACACAGTGTGGTTATCCTACAAAGATGAGCATTTTTTAATTTGTTGTTCCTCCCAAGAGAAACAAGCACATTGCTCTCTCAGATAAATAAATAATTGCTCACGCATTGGGAGCAGCCCTGGGAGGCCCCTCCCTGCTTTCTCTAGACCTTGTAGCCAACTCCCTTCAGACACAAGAGGGACTACAATCCTCTGGTTCCTCCTCCCCTGCGACTCTGGAGCAAGCACAAAGAGTAAGGGACAGAACCTGGGGCAGGAGAAGGATGGCCTGGATCCTGTCCCTTCTTGCCCTGCTCTACAACCCATGTAAGTTACTCAGCCTCGGGTCTCTTCAGTTCCCTAGAGGGCCTCCAGGACCTGGGAGACAGAGCTGGAGTGCGTGCACACGCGCACACGCGCGCGTGCACGTGCGCGCACACACACACACACACACACGAGAGTTCAGGAGAGCTTGGAATCATCTTTGTCAGTTCCCACTAGATCCAAGGGCCACTGCAAAGTCACCAGATTTTGGCCACAGATGCACCCTAAGAGTGCCGGGTGGACCCCAGACTTCGGGATGTTATGCTTCAGTGGGTACAAAGCTATCCCACATCCCTGACCTGGCAGCAGCCCTGGAAGGTGGGCAGAGTGAGGTTTTCCATCCTCATCTTATATGAGTGAGAAAACTAAGTTTCAGAGAGGAGCAGTGATTTTATCAAGGCCACACAGCAAAAAAGACAGCTGGACAGGGGCACTGTTCTCTACCCAAGCCCAGGAAGCTGAGAAGATGAGGACCAGGTCAAAGTCTTGGGCAAACCCCTGACAGCACGGCCCCTCGCCTAGAGCAAGCCTGCCCTGAGGAGGTGTGAGCCCCACTCCTACCTTCCCCAGAGCCCCTGGCCCCCAGCCCTCAGAATGCAGCCGTCACTAGGGCAGTTCCTGCTCAGGTCTAACCGCTCTTCCTCCCACAAATCCTAGACCCACCATTTCCCTGTCTTGTCACCTCTTCTCACAGGTGGAAAACAAATCACAGGGACCTGATTCAGAAAACTGTGCCTTTGGAGTTTCCTCTGGCTAATCTGGTACCTGCTGAGGGGGGTGGGTAAAGCCAGGACACCATCCCACCCACCCCTGGATCACCAGTGCCCAGCCCAGCCCTCTCCTCTCTGCAGCCACCAGGCTGTCCCCTGTCCTGTGCTACCTTGTTGACAGCTGGCAGGTGGCACTGAGGTGAGCAGGCCCAGAATGACCAGGTTGAAGGCTGACATGGCTGCAGGTAGCTCCTGGGCCTTCCCTCCGCGGCTGCTGACTGAGCTTCTGGAGCTGCTGGGGGTGTTGGTGGTGTTTGCCTGAGATCCACTGAGCACAGTCGGATCCTGGAGGGGAGGAGAGGAGCGAGTGAGGAAGAGGGCCAGAGAGGGAGAAGGAGGGGGAAGGACAGGCGGGGGAGAGAAACTGCCCTCCCTCCCATGGAAATGAGCTGGCTGGACTGGCTTCCCTGGACTGGTTTCCCTGGCCGTGCCCAGCCCATTGAGCTGGCATTTGAGGTCCTCCTTCAGAGACCAGCTGAGGAGGTGAATCTGAGGACCTGGGAGGTGTGGGGAGAGCCCCAGACACCTGGAGCCCCATACTGCCCCCACAGTCCCTGCCTGGGCTCCACATTCCTGGCAGTGGGGCTGGGCTCTGGGGAAGAGTGACACATTGTCTCTTCTGCACTGAATGAGTCCAGTGGGTGGAGCTTCTTGGAAGGATACAATGGAATTAAGAAATCTGCGGCTGGCTCAGGGCCTAGGGAAAACCCCAGAGGCGCAGGGAGGCTCACAGCCGCCCACTTTCTCCAGAGCCTGGCCTGTTCTCTGTTCTCCCCCTCACCTGTCCCTGCCTTACCAAGCAAGACCCTGGGGCTCCCCTCTGGGGAATACAGCCCAGTTTCAGTGCTCCCCCACCCCCTGGCCCAGCCCAGTAGCTCCCTAAAACCACTCCCTCCCACAAATCACAACAGAGGGGCTGAGGTCCCAGTCCCCATCTTTCCCAGCCCAACTGACCTGGACCCAGTTCACCTCCTCCTCCTGGCCCCATGTGGTCCCTGGAGATGTGGCAGGTCTCCCTCAGACAAGATCTGAGCTAGATCAAAGGCCTCAGCACCTACCCTCAGGTCTGGCTCCAGCAGTCCTTGGAGGCAGAAGTAGGTATGAAGAGGCTGCTGTGGAGGGAGAAGAGAAGGTACCCCCAGGTGCCGAGGTCCAAGCTATACCCAGGAGCAATCTGAGGAAGGTTCACCTACCATCGAGGACACCTATCAGCTATCACCTGATCCTGGAGCCAAACTCCTCATAAGAGGCGAAACATCCCTCTAGAATCACATGGCATCCAGTCTACCCTCCAGCTCAGGGACTAAGCATAACCCAAGTTCCTATCAAGGCCAGGGATCATGCTAGTCTTCCTTGCCCCAAGCCACAGCAGGACTATGGGAAGCTTAGGTGCTGGGAGCTCCTCATGGGAACCTGGTATGCAATGGCTGAACGCAGTGTACAGCAGTGTGCACGCTGTTGCTTGTATGACCTTGTATGACCTTGGAGACGGTGCTTCCCAAAGGATGTACATGTCTCTGAGCTCTTCATGTCCTTGATCTGGGTCCCAGACAGATATTCAAATTGCCTTTGGAAAGTCCCAGGGCACAGTGGCTAGGGTTCATATTGACCAAGTCATAGTGTCCATCTGCACATGGGTACAGAACAAGGAGTGTGTGATTGAGGCCCTACATGGGGCTAAGTTCAGTTCCCTGGCCACCAGAAAATCCATATCTGTTCATAACTTTCCTAAGAACAGTGGGGCTTTACAGAGTTTGATGTGAATGGATTTGAAGACATGGTAGCAGAGAAGTGGGCAGCTGTCAAATACATCCCATAGTTTCCTGGACAAATGGCAAACCCTGTACTGGTGAGGTTTTCCACCGTGTTACCACATCCTTCCTCACATTCACCAATAAATCTTACTTCTTGCCCATAAAGAAAGGAAAGGCTAGGCAAAGCTGGCGGACCAGGAGCAAAGTCCCTAGGGAGTCTCCTTCATAGCCTCTCTGCCCAGAGGAAGTCAAACTGCTGTTCAGAGGACCCACTGGGTACCCTTTTCCATGTCAAAATGGTTCTGCCAGTTGGGAGCACTCAGAATCATGTTTTGTCCCTGGTGTGTGTGTGTGTGCACGCACGCACGCTCATGCATGCAAGTACAGTGGGCCCATTACCATCCAAAACTTGGGTATCTTCTGTGGGGAAAAAGGTACACTCAGACATCACTGGTGGGACTGCAAACTGGTTCAACCACTCTACAAAGCAGTATGGAGACTCCTCAGAAAACTTGAAACAGAACCACCATTTGACCCAGTTATCCTGCTCCTCAGTACATACCCAAAGGATTTAAAATTAGCATACTAGAGTGACACAGCCACATCAATGTTCACAGCAGCTCAATTCACAATAGCTAATTTATGGAACCAACCTAGGTGATCTTCAATAGATGAATGGGTAAAGAAAATGTGGTATATATACACATGGAATATTACTCAGCCATAAAGAAGAATGAAATTATGGCATTAGCCAGTAAATGGATAAAACTGGAGACTATCATGCTAAGTGAAATAAATCAATCCCAAAAAACCAAAGACTGAATGTTCTGTCTGATATGCAGATGCTGACTCACAATGGTGGTGGTAGGGGTGGGGGCGTTCCACCAGATTAGACGGGAGAATGGAGGGAAAGGAGGGGGATTGGGAATGGGAAAGACAATAGAATGAATCGGACATAACTTTCCTATGATCATATATGAATACACGACCGGTGTACCTCCACATCATGTACAACCACAAGAATAGGAAGTTATAGTTCATATATGTATGATATGTCAAAATACATTCTATTGCCATGTATAACTAAAAAGAGCAAAGAAAATTTTAAAAATAAAATAAAACTAAAACTGGGTATCCTCAAAGTGCTCTAGGAGAACTTTGGGTAAAGTTGAGTGATGCCTCCTGTCCATGTATGTGCTGCTCCCCCTCCCACAACAACTTGGGGTCAGAATCTGTGGGCACAGTCTGGAGAGTGGTAATGAACAGCCAGAGAATCACTGGTTGAAATGTAAGGAATGAAGTTGAATTTAACAAACATGCAGCAAGGGTTTTAAGCAGGGGAGTCACATGGTCAGAGGTGCATTTGAGAAAATGAAATGGGCATCAGAAATGGAAAAGGGAGATCTAGAGAGGCCACAAAGGAGCCACACAGTCAGTGTTAGCCTGCAGCAGGGGTGTGGCAGTGGGGGTGGGTCTGAGCCCTGGTAGAAAAGCCTGGGCATGGTTTCTAGAACAGTGACTAGCTGGACAGGGTGAGGAAGGAGGTGACTCTTGGTTAGGTTTCTGACTTGGATAGCTGAGTGGATAGTGGTGTCTCAGGTGCCTTAGATGTACTGTGTGTGGTACCTGCGGACCCTCCAGAGGGAGGCATCTAGAAGGCAGCAGGATCCCTGGGTCTGGAGAAGAGAGTTAGATCTGAGGGACACTTGTGAACAGTGATGGTAATTCAGGATGGGAGTGCAAGACCTTCAGAGAGAGAGAGAGAGAGAGTTTTCAGGGACCAGGATGCAACCCCAGCACACAAGTGTCTCAAAAAGAAGAGGAGGCAGGATGGAGCAAGAGGATGAAATCCCAGAAAAATTGAATATCCGAGGAGCCAAGGGTGGAGAGATTTAAGGGGAGGTGGACAAGGACGTCACCCAGCCCCACCAGACAGTGCAGCTGCCCAGCTTCTGCCATCAGCAAGCAAGACACAGTTTCTGCCTTTTCTCACTAAACTCGCTGGATAAAGGCAAGGCAAGGACTCTCTGAGCCATGCTTTGGGGGCAGTGGAGGGGGAGGATGAGCAGGAAAGACAGCAGGTGACCAACAGGCGGAAAGCCCAGCTCCCAGGTCAAAGTCCCAGGCTTTAAAGCAAAGCAAGTTGTCCCGGAAAAGGGGGGTGTGGGTGGACACTTGGCTTTGAGGCTGGTCCCTGCTCCCTGGAGGTCCTCACAGAGGAGAGGAGGTCATCTTCCCAGCTATGTGGACATTACTGATCCCTGAGGTAACAAAGTGGTAAGTGTGCTCTGGCTTAGGCCCAGGGTCTGGACTCAGGCCTCAGCAGCCACCAGGGTTGGACCCTGAGTCCTCACCTTAGAGCAGCTGTTCTATCCATGCTTAATCCCTCCCACCTACTCCCAGGCCAGCTCTGCCTCCTGAAATCATCAGGCCCCTTAGACAAGCCCTGCATCTAGCTAGAGCTTATGTGATTACTCGTTAGAAAAGCCTGAATGGACCGGGACTAATTCCATTTGTTACCAGCAGGTGGCAGTATCTAGCACCAATCCCAGACTGGTTGGGAAGGTAGGGGACCAGCACAGAGCTGAGGAGTCCCCAACTTCCTTCCCCTCCTGCCCCCTACTTTCACCCTCTCATGGGGTGATCTGGAAGAAGAGAAGGTGGATGTGGATGCAGTCCTTGATGCTGGACAATGCACATGGCAAGCCAGGGCTGCAGTGGAGATCTGCATATGACCACTAAAAGTCAAGGAAGGCATCCTGGAAGAGGTGATGCTAAGGGAAAAGTTGATTGAATGTTGGATTAGGCAGAAAGACAGAGTGGGGAAAGCGATCCAGGCAGAGAGCTCAGACTGAGTAAAAGCAGGGTGCTCAGAGCACAGATAGAAGCTTCCTTCACTCCTTCTTACAATGCCTCACCTCATTACTGTCTTTGCTTGCAAGCCTGAGAGCTCCTGGACACTGTACTCATTCAAACAGATTCTGCTTAGACACTTTAATAGCTTCCAGTGGCCCTTAAAATAATGTCCAGACTTCTTGACCTGGTCCTGAGGAGTGGGACAATCTGCCCTTCCCCTTCTCTCCACCTCATCTGGCCCCAGTACCTCCTGCATCTGGGCCAGCTCCCCACTTGCTCTGCCCTCTGCCTGGAGCACTCTTCCCCTCCTAACTACCCAGTAAGCTAATCCTCCTTGTCTTGCTTTAAAGGTCACTTTTCCAAGAAGACTCCTTTGGCTTCCCTTCACCCACCTCTGAGTCTCCTCTGCTCATCTCTTCACAGACATAGTCACGAATTGCAATTCCTTCTTGACTTATATATTTACTCTATTAATAGCTCCCATCTCACCCCTAGCACTGAGCACAGTGACTACATACACACTCAACAAATATTTTGTGAAATTAGATCTCAGTATATGCAGTGCCTCCCTCTGGTCTGGTAGACAGCAGTGCTCAGAGGCTGGTCGTTGAATGAATCAGACGTGTTAGCTCTAGTTGTCTCCTTGTCTCTCTCTACCCTCTGGATGACTGGATGGGTATTTACCCCCACAGAGAGCCCCAGTGGTAAGAGCTGGAAGGGGCAGAAAGTACCAGCCTGGAGCCAGCCAAGCCAAGGAATGTACTGGCTGTGGCTCCTGGGTCCTAGGCGACCCCACTGGGCCAGGGAGATTTATGGCCAGGACCCCCCAGTGGGAGAAGATCAATCAACCCCTCCCATTACCTACTCACCCAGCCAAGAAACTAAAGGGCTGGCCCCCGGCCAGGAGTCAGCCTGCCAGCAGAGGTCCCAAGGCCAAATCTTTGCCCAGTGATTCCAGCACACCCCTGCTCCCCCATCCAGGGCTCCAGGCCAGCAGCAGAACCAAGCTGGCTTCCAGAATCAGTCTTTTCTGGCCTAAAAGCTCATCCTGAATAGTGTGATCTTGATACTTATTTTTCACCTGGGGAAACTGTGAAGGGACCACCTGAAGGCCACACAGTAAATGAGGAGGGACAGGGCCATCCCTACAACCAGCCTGAGACTGGAGCACCTGCTTATTGAGCAGTTTCTCCAATAACACTCTGACTTACTTTAATTCATTCATTCATACAACACCTATTTAGTGTCCACTAGAGGACTGGAAGTCCAGTAGTGATGTAAGGTAAAGCTCACCTCATACAGCTATGTAATTGCAGTTGTGCCAAATGTTTCAAAACAGGTGTATGGCCACCAAGAATATATCAATGAGGACACCATCTAGTCTGGGAGGTCAGGAGAAGGTAGTGGTAAGTCTACGACTCATTCAACAGGTATTTACTGAGTCTCCTGAGGACCAGGCGCTGTTCAGTAT